GTTTATATTTTCTTACTTCCCACCAGTGGTGGAATTTGATTTGTTATTATTCGCTGTTGGTCAGCTAATTGGATCAGACAAAGCTGCTGGGAGATGCCGTAAGCATTCGTCCTAACATCACAAGCTACTGAAAAAGTTGATAAGACAAGCGTACGTGATTAATTAAAGGTGAGCCCTTTACAACCGCAATGCAATCGATGCTTTTCCGACTGAGATCCGTCAGTCAGTATCACTGCATGCAATAAAATTAAACGCAACGTGTGAAATGGAGTTTTTGTTTCGTTCTGATACTGGCGTATCTCAATAAAAGAAAGAAATTGCTTTCCGGCTAAAGTGTAGGAGAAGTAGTCAGTATCAATACCTGCATGATCAGTGTTTACTAATAGAGCTCCTTTTTGTGTGCTCTCTGCTGATTGGTCGGTTCAGTAGGAGGTGTCGAGTTGAAAGTTGCACTTTGGCATTTTGACAAGAATGTACCCGTAACACAAGCCTTGGAGTGAGCGCCGGCGTAAACACAGCATAAGGATAAAAATCAATGTCAGCATAAGGATAAAAATCAATGTCTGCACACATCAGCTTGCGCCTCATGCACAGTGACCGTCTGTGACATGGAAGGATGATATGAAATCACATCTTTTCAAAATAAAACTGCAGCTGTTTAACGACACCCTCCGTTACTCATTCAGCAACGGGGAGAGTTTATATATTTACTCAAAATATGACCTCCCGTTTCACAGCAGGTGTTCACGCTCTTTTACATGTTTCATTTCTTATTTGATCCAAATCTTCTCGTTGTGATCTTCCCAACAGAACATTAATGCAATGCTCGTGCTTCGACACTGTCACCGTCTAACGCGTTTTGGTCCGCTCAGCCCTCAAAGGTACCGTGTGGCTTTTCTCATCCCTCTTTGAATTGAACTGGGGTCCTCACGAGATTGTCTCAATTTTCGTAGACCCCAAGCGTCCTCTGCTGGAGCGTGGTGTTCGCTTCGTCTTGCGAGCAGCAGCAACAATAACAACAAGGAACAGAGATGGGAGCACCCTGGACACGCTCCAAACTTGCGACTCGCCTTCGCGGGTCTCATGGCCGGGACAGGAGCTGTTCTGGCGTATGGCCTCCACCATCACAAGGTCAGCTCTCTGTGCATCTTTGCGCAACCTAAGCTTAAGATTTCATGCGAAATAGTTGAGAAGACACGCTCGGTTGTTTCATTTGATAAGATAAGCAATAGAGATCCAGTTGTGAAAGGAATAAATGGCTCATTAAAAAGAACAAAATAACGTCCCTGCTGACTGCCTTCATTATTTTATGGATGGAGGGCATATATGACCAAAAATTTGAATTTTGCAAGAATAAAATTGTATATTTTTTAGATTAATACTTTCATGCAACCTGATAACATGATAAGATGTCCACAATAGTAACAATTGCCCATGAAAGGGTTAAAGTCGGAATTGCGGTAAAGTTGTACGTGTTTGTGAGTTTTTTTGGTGAAACGTTTTAGAAACTCAAGCGTTAAGTCAGAATTTTTATTAGGATAGTTGAAAATGCTCATAAGTTTCGGATTTTCTAAAGCATCTCTTTCTGGTTTTTCGAGATTCTTTTTAGATTCAAGTTTTACATTTTCGATAAAAAACTTTCAAAATTAAGGTTGAAGTAATCATTTGAATAAAGTTGTATATTTTTGCGATTAAAGTTTTTTAGTTTTCAAAAGTCAAGTTGTATATTTTCAGAATTAAAATGGGCTTTTTATTATATTATTATTATTATTTTCTTTTTATATATATATATATATATATATATAAAACCTTTTATTTTTTTTATTTAAATGATAAATTTAGGGGAATAAAGTTGGTTGTTTGAGAGATTACAAAATCTGATATTTTAGCTCTGACACCATTTTACCACTTTGGCTCTGTTACTCTTGTTAGCTTGAACCCCAAGAAAGAAAGTTTGTTTGTGTTGTCGGCTGCCACGCCCGGCCGGGCCGTGTTTTTGCAAACGGTGCAGCAGAAACCTGACTCAGCACATTAGTCAGTTTTCGACTCCCACTTTCAGTGACTCAGCTTGTTCCTCCTGAACTCAGCATCCCTGTCAGATCTCCGTCATCTCTCATATCTGTGTCAGGAAATTTGGACAACTTCCTGTTTGGATAGTGTGGATGATTTCCAAACTAATCAGAAATGATTCAGTACAGAAGACCTCATCGTGCTTTTTCAAGTCACCGTTCACAAAGCGGCTTTCGATGCCGCGCGTTGCGATCGATGACGTGTTGACAGCGTTGTTATCTCTGCTGTGCAGGCGGAGCAGGGTGACGTTGTGAGCGCTCAGCTGAAAGCGCAGACCTCCCAGCTTCCCATCTTCAGCCAAGAAGAGGTCACCAAGCACCGCACGCTGAAAGATGGCGTGTGGGTCACTTACAAAGGCGGCGTCTACGACATCACCGAGTTCGTCCCCGCGCACCCCGGCGGGGATAAAATCCTGCTGGCGGCAGGCGGGGCCCTCGAACCCTTTTGGGCGCTTTATGCGGTGCACAACCAGGAGCACGTGCTGGACATGCTCTCTGAATATAAGGTGTGAGGAACACAAGTGTCATGATGGAGAAAAAAAAAAAAAAAGATGCTCCCTTAGCATGTCGCTCTACTATGACAGCTTACAAAAGCACACTTTTGGGACTTGCGTAACAAATTAAGGTGCTAATGTGCTGAGGAATGCCAACAGCGAGTTCCGAGTGCCGTGAGCTTTCCAGCTCCGTGAAACATAGCGTCGCGTCTCCATTCGTCACATTCATCATCCGTCTCATTTGTGATTGTCTACGAGGTGGGCGAGTTGCGGGCGGAGGACCAGAAAAAGCAGCAGAGCGCGGCATCGTCGGATCCGTACTCGTCCGACCCCGAGCGACATCCCGTGCTGCGCGTCAACAGCCTGAAGCCCTTCAACGCCGAGCCGCCTCCCGAGCTCCTCTCGGATAGCTACGTCACGCCCTCCGCCATCTTCTTCAAGAGGAACCACCTGCCCGTTCCGCGGGTGGACCCGGCGTCGTACGAACTGCAGGTGGACGGGCTCCCCGGAGGTGGTCTCAAGCTGTCCTTGGAGGACTTAAAGAACCGCTTCCCCAAGTACACGGTCACGGCCACGCTGCAGTGTGCGGGCAACCGGCGCTCCGAGATGAACGCGGTCAAGCAGGTGAAGGGATTGAACTGGGGCATTTCGGCCATCAGTAACGCCACGTGGGCGGGCGCACGCCTTCGCGACGTGCTGCTGGCTGCCGGATACGGTCCGGATGCGGCGCGGTGGGCTCGCCACGTGCAGTTTGAGGGGCTGGATAAAGACGTGACGGGGACGACGTACGGCGCATCCATCCCTGTCAACAAGGCGACCAACGAGGAAGGCGACGTCCTGCTGGCTTACGAGATGAACGGCGAGCCTCTCCCCCCCGACCACGGCTTCCCGGTGCGGGTAGTGGTGCCCGGAACAGTGGGGGCCCGTAACGTCAAGTGGCTGTCCAAGATCACGGTGAGCGCCGAGGAGAGCAGCAGCCACTGGCAGCAGAACGACTACAAGGGCTTCTCGCCCACCACCGACTGGGACACCGTCGACTTCAAGTCGGCTCCGGCCATCCAAGAGCTGCCCGTCCAGTCGGCCATCACCGTGCCGGCAGATGGCGCCGCGGTGCCCCGCGGAAGCGAAGAGGTGACGGTGAAGGGCTACGCGTGGAGCGGCGGCGGCCGAGAAGTGGTGCGCGTGGACGTGTCCCTGGATGGAGGGAAGACGTGGCAAGTGGCCGAGCTGAGGAGCAGCGACGGGGGGCAAAATGCCGAGCCTTCACCCCCGCCCGGGAGAGCCTGGGCCTGGAAGCTGTGGGAGCTCACGGCCCCTCTTCCCTCGGAGGCCCGCCAGCTGGAGATCGTCTGCAAGGCCGTGGACAACAGCTACAACATGCAGCCCGACACGGTCGCTCCCATCTGGAACCTGAGAGGGGTGCTGAGTAACGCCTGGCACAGGGTGAAGGTCAACATCGTCGACAGCAATGAATAGATTTCATCGGACCGTTGTTCGATGACCTCACCTCAAACGACGTTCGGAACGCTGCCAGTCTATGACGGTGCCAAATTGATGCGCTCATGCGGACTTCTTCTCTGGAATTTAGAAGTTTGAACAAGAATTGGGGTCTGTAGAAAGTCATTTGAGCATTCATCAAATGTCTCCGATGTCTAGTCGAAGGTCCGTGTACTTGCACGCTCTTTGTTTGCTCAAGCACACGTGCCAAACTCAAGGCCCGGGGGCCAGATCCGGCCTGAGAAAGCAAATTCTGGTCTTCGACTTCATGTTTCTTGCTAAAATACCCAAATTGCTAATTGTCTCCACTTTTCAAAAAGTTGAGATATTTTAAGCATTTTTTTTTTTTTGTTACCAATCCTCCCTTTGATCATGAATTGATCATGTGTATCAATAGGAAAACAGCACAGCACTGGTATAAATGAAGGATATGTACATTATTGTGTAAAAAAAAAAAAAAAACAGGAATATTTAAGTTTAACCTCCTGGGACCTGGCGTCCACATGTGTGGACATGACGTTTCTGGTTTTCAAGACTACAATATTAAATTTTGGACTACAAGGGCCTGGCATCCACTTACGAGGACGTTACATCATGTAAAAAGATAGTTCTTTGTTTGTACACTCATCAGGTCCCAATTAGCCTAAATATCAAAGAGAAAATAAAAATAAAATAAGAATGCATGCCTTGCAAGAGTTCGGGTCTTAGGAGGTTAAAGTTTTAATTCTCTCAAAGAATCTTGTCATATCGGAATTTGGTCATATGAATGAACAGTGAAAGGTGCTGACTGTGGAAAACCACTTCAATGACTACTGGGATATTTCCAGTCATTGTTGTCATGGGAAAGGATCATTGTCATTGAAGACGAGGAATAAACAGATTTAAATGTGTACTTCAGTCACTGATGATTTCTTTGCAGCTGGTGGGGGGGGAAAAGTTGCACTGTCAGTGTTTTGATCACTTTTTATTCAATTTAAATGTTTCTGTCACCATCTGTCTTGATTTAAGTTTTTGCAGATGCTGGCTACACACTGGTGCACTTATCCAAATCAGTATTGAGAGTGTGAAGAGACGCGGACAATTTTTGCAGTTTTCCCAATAACGTGATGTGCTCCTAACCAGATGAGATAGCCAGTCACATGCCGGTGATACATTCTTTGGTTCTTACAAGCTCAACAAGATTTTGCTAAAACTAGACTTGCACTTTGCCCCCTGGAGGTGTCCCAAACACCAAAAGACAGGCAGGCAATTCACACCGAAGATCAGGAGCAAGGCGCTCACCTAAGTGCTTCTGTGTAACGATGTGGATGTGGCTTCCGTGCGTGAAGGTTGTGAAAGCAAAATGAGGACATCGGAGAATTCCAGCCACATCCTGTTTTGGGTGTTTTGGTTATTTTGGCTTCAGGCCTCGTACAATATCCCCTGATTTTCTTTGCACGCACACAGAATTGTGTAACCTCTTGCACACCACCATATGTTCTTCCTGATGTATCTCAAGACTGTCGTAGACACTTGGAAGCCCAGTATCATGGCTTCCAAAAAGAAAATCTCTGCCACGTATTCCAGAAAAAACGTCCTGTGGAGAAGTATTTTGACTGTTTTGTTGTCAACGTGTCCTCTCGGAATTCTCTGTGATTCATGCCTTCCCAAACATTGGGGTACGCACAATAGATCAAAATGTCCCGAGTGCAGGATCTTTGGTTTTAGGGTTTAAAAAAAAAAAAAAAAACAAACAAAAAAAAAACCCAAAACGGAACCAATGAGTCATTCGTGAATAAACTGCGTGTCTGTTTATGCGCTACTGAGAATTGCTAGCCACTAAGACAAGAACAATAAAAAACACTTAAGGCGAAATAAAGAGGAAATCCATAAAATCAAACAAACAACTCCGTATTAAAATTGAGCCGTGTGTCTAGACATAAGTAGGGTCGCACAATTCGAGGAGTTGCATACATATCCCGTGGAAACGCGTTGGTGTTAAATATATATTTTTTAATCAAAAGAAAGGTAAAAACAGCTACTTAACATATTTCAAAAAAGTTGCTGGATCTGCGTTGTATGACCTCTTTTCAAAAGCTAAACGGTCGCTTCATTACACAGTTCAACAATGAAATGTGCGTTGCTTCAAGATTTTACTGCGACTGCAGTTTTGTAATTTTATTGCGGTTGATGATGATGATGATGTACATGAGTCATGGGTCAATCACAGCGTTCCTTTTTGACATGAGCGGGCCTTCCTACCTCTCTGTTAATTGGACTTCTCCGTCAATAATGACCAAAAAAAAAAAAAGTTAAAGCAAAATCATCCATCCATTTTCTATAGCGCTTGAGTGCTGAAAACGGCTCCCTTTGACAATGCAAAGTTTCTGGGCCCAGGCCTACCTATGTGGAGTTCACATATTCTCACCGTGGGTGGGTTTTCTCCGGGTATTCCGGTTGCCTCCCACATTCCAAAATACGCCGGGTCAAATCATTAACTCAATGCACTTAGTATAAAAAAAATAAAATAACTTTTTGGACCCAACTCTTGAGTTACTTCCTTCACCAAATTACGTTGCTATGCAACCGCGAGAGTTCCTCTGCTAGGTCTTACCTGCAGCCGGTTGCCTCCACGCATGTTTATACAGCACTGACGATTGCTTAAAAAAAAAAAAAAAAAAACTGTTTGGACCCAACTCTTGAGTTAGCCCCTTCACCAAATTACGTTGCTTTGCAACCGCGAGAGTTCCTCTGTTAGGTCTTACCTGCAGCCGGTTGCCTCCACGCATGTTTATACAGCACCGACGATTGCTGTAACTTCTCTCAGAACAACTTGACAAGACAACGGCGCGCGCGCAGATTTAGTGCAGCCATTTCCTCGAATCTGCATTCTTCCCTGATGGCTCATTGTCTCCTCGGCGCTGAGTCACACGCCAGGCCCGCTTTAAAAAGTACCGCCGCCTCCTCTGGCTGAGCACTCCAGTGTAGAATTCCGGGTGGGAAACTTCAGAGCTCAAAGATGGAGTGCAGCGGGCGGCTGCTGGTGGTGCTTTTGGTGCTCGCTTGCAGCGGCGCTTTCTGTGCAGTGGTGCAGTGGATGGAACTGACTGAGGCACAGGTAAGATGCTTTTTCAGTGTGCTGTTTGAACTACAATTCCAGCAACTCCATTTTTTTTGTTCTGTACATCTCAGGACTATTTGAAGCAATATGGCTACCTGAATGAGCCCGGTGATCCGCTTGACCCCAACTACCTGGAGGAGGTCATCCAAGCTCTTAGGTAACTTGGAAGGCACTTAAAATGAGAGTGAGAATTGTTCGTAATATTTTTGCCTCTCTTCTGCTGCTCAGCACGAGTAAAAGCCCAAATACGAAAAACCTCAGTCAAGTGTTAATGCTGGCATATCGCATTGTTTTGCTGATAGTGATTACGACAACATAAGCAATAAGATGTCAAATAACAATACTAGATGAAGACTCTCCGTGTTATACAATCTGCAACCACAGTAATAAACAGATTGTGAAAAGATGACCCCAATCACACACTCTTCATAAACGCAGAATATTGAATGTTGAATCTATTAGCCTGTGCAGGTGTTCAATGTCATGGCCATGCGTCAAGTCTCCCTCTTGACCAGAGTTTGATTGTTTATTTTGTTTGTTTTTGTCTCCAGGGTCTTCCAAAGGGTGAATGAGTTGCCTGCCAGCGGAGAGTTGGACGAGGCCACCCTGGCTGTGATGAGGCAGCCTCGCTGTGGCTTGGAAGACCCCTTCAACAAGAAACAGCACAAGTACAGAGTGATGGGTGATTAATGCTTCATGACTCGAAATATCTATGCTGCACAGATGTGTTTTTTTCAAAGCTTGATATCCTGTAGTCGGGCTGAAGAATCAATCAAATTCAAATCGACAACACGATGCAATTTTGGAATTGCAGAGGCTGAAATTTGGGGGGGGGGGGGATATATGTCTCTGCCATAATTGTTTGATAGAACTTTGTTTAGTTCTCGTCGTGAATGCTGAAAAAGACTGCCAGTCAAACTGTTTAGGAAGTTCACAGCTCTAATTGAAGTCAATAAAGGAACTGGATTTCATGTTAGTTACTGGCTAATTTGCCTTGATTTTAATGATTAAAAGCTGTTCTTTAATTTTTAACCATAGGGCCAATCATATAAAAATAATAATTCACTTACTTGGATATAGTAAAATAATTTGACATACAGCATTGTATCTTTTAAATGTAACTTTTTTTTGTTGTCAATTGGTTCAATGTAAATGCCCAAAAACCCAACAAAAAATTGTTTGGTTTTATTAAGAAAAATCCCACCCCTAATATTGTACTTCATAAAAACATAAATGAATGTAATAATCAAATAGAATGTAAAAGAAGCAAATCAACTCATTTCTTTGTCACTTTTATTTTTTTGTTTTGCCTCCGTTCAATGGACATGTTGGCCACCGGGGGGCAGTATAACGCAAACATAGGATATAAACGGAGACAGAAAGCCGAAGTCATCGTCGTTCTTTGCAGAGGGTAAAGAATACATGCCGACGACACACCGATGCTATTCGTATCTTCTCTCAGGTCGCTGGAGGAAAAAAAATCTGACCTACCGCATTTACAACTACACACCGGACATGAAGAAAGCCCTGGTGAAAACAGCCATCCAGGAGGCTTTCAAGTACTGGAGTGACGTTACGGACTTGACCTTTAGAGAGGTGGAATACGGAAGAGGTGACATCAGGATCGCCTTCCACAAGAGAGATGGCTACTGCAGCATTCCGTTTGATGGCCGCGGTGAGGCTTTTTTTTCTGACTTTTTTTTTTTTTAATGTAATGTAGCTGCTGCCTCATCATCATAATCATCATCATCATCATCATCAACATCCTCCTCTACTCCTTTGCAGGTCATGTACTGGCCCACGCAGAAGCACCAGACTCTGGACTGGTCCACTTTGACGAAGATGAGTTCTGGACGGAGGGAACGTACTACGGCTCTAATTTGCGTATCGTGGCGGCCCATGAAATTGGTCATGCACTCGGCTTGGGTCATTCTCAGTTCAGAAATGCCCTCATGGCCCCCGTCTATACCGGTTACCAGAGCAATTTCAAGCTGCACTTCGATGATGTGCGAGGCATCCAAGCACTGTATGGTGAGTCATTTCAAAACACCATCAGTCCTACTGACTGAAAGAGACTTGAAATATTGCATACAGACGACTTCTTTCGATAGATAGGTACATAGACAATAGTTTAAAGCAATGCCTTTTAGATATAATATTGCTCTCTTGTAGTTGCATACTGAAAGCTGTTTGTAATCATTTTTGCTATAAATTAGTGCCATCAAGCAATCATTTTTAAAAACGAATTAATCGTACTTTTTTTAATGCATAAAGAATTGCCCCCGAACCACTGTGTCTTTTTTTTTTTCCTAGGCCAACCCACAACCAACACTTTATCTACTCCAACAACTTCAGACAGTGTCTTTCCTACTGAAAGCAGCAATGACACTGAGAGCATCCCTGACCCGTGCACGGCCACACTGGATGCCATCATGCTTGGTACGACGCCAGACCGCAAACACTTAAAACATCGTGGTAGCACCATGATAAACAAACAAACAAAAAAATAATAACAGGAAGATCTACCTGTTTACAAACGTAAATTCATTTTCCCAGTTATATCGTCACACGTATCCCATCAATGATCACAGGGACATTCCACCACAATGTCATATCAATGGGGTGAGGGATTAGGAGTTGAGGTAGGATTTAGAGCAGTGTTTTTCAAACTTTTTTGAGCCAAGGCACACTTCTTTCATTGAAAAAAATCTCGCGGCACACCACAAGCTGAAAATGTGAAAAAAAAAAACCCACTTATTTTAACAATTAACGTGTTATATTGTTACTATAACCGTTTTTAACATTGAAGAATGACGTTATAACAGCTAGAATTGGAATCAAATGAATACGAAGAAAAAAGTATTTTATCGTCTTTAACATTTTTTGTTTCACCGTCATCTGCATTCATACGTCACAAATTCGCTTGTCTCTCGTCTAAACACAAGGCAATTGGCTAGCTGTTGCTTCTCCCTAGCGGTAAGGGAGGGTACTACACAATTACTTTCTGGGCGAGTGACCGCACAGGCATTCAAATTGGATATTTTCTCGCGGCACACCTGGCAATGTGTGCCGCGGCACAGGGTTTGAAAAACACTTGTTTAGAGTACAGTTATCATTCGAGTTAATCGATTCTTTAGGGGTATGATGAGGATTTCGTTTGGAATAGCATTTTAAACTGAGCTGTAACGGTAAACGGAGAGTTGGAATACGTTTAGCAATTACAGTATGCAGTTCACCAGTAGGGGTCGCTGCCTTTCTCTCAGTTTTCAACTGTGTCCCAGACCTTTAGGAAGTTTCATATTTGTCAAATCAGGTCCTTGGATGAAGACCTTTGCTTTCAGCGGGAAGTACGTGTGGACCATCTCTGATCTGGGACACAACACACCACTAAGGATCGATAGGCTGTGGAAGGAGCTCCCTGGGAACATAGATGCAGCGGTGCAGTCGCCAAGGACCGATAAGACCTACTTTCTTAAAGGTAAATCACCGTCGAGTGAGTCACTACATTGGCGTCATTCATCATGTGGATATATTTGTTTGGATTTAAGAGTAGCTGATTAGCTGTTGAACGATTTAAACCTATCAAGTCAACTTAGCCACTCACACTGCACTTGTAAAGTATGGTTTTCCATCTCCGAGAGAAATAATAATTTGGACTGGTTTCGAGAGAACAATGGCTGATTCAGAGTTTGCGTCACATTTCGAAAGTTTTACACTGCAATAACATTTTTAAAATAAAACGAAAAAAGTGATGGAATGAGGGATGTGTTCCTCAATTTAAGCTAAATGATCTGCCACACTGTAAAAAAAAATTGCTGTAAAAAAAAATTGGCTGCCTGGTGCTTTTTGAAAAATTTGAATTTGAGACATTCGAGCAACACAAGTGTTAGTTTGGCATCATTGACGACACCTGCTATGCTCTCCAAGTATGCAGTTTTTTTTTTGTTTTGTTTTGGCTGTTTCTGTAGGTAATCAAGTGTGGCGGTACACTGGCTTTGTGCTGGATTACGGCTACCCTAAAAAAGCGCAGCGCATCCCTCCTAACATTGATGCGGCTTTGTACTTGGAGAAGAACAGGAAGCTTATTTTCATCAAGGTAAATCTTGAGCGTGCTCCTCATTCAGGTGCTCAACGTGCTGTACTTTCATGGCATTTGTTTGCTTGCAGGGCTCTAATTACTGGCAGTGGGATGAGCTGAAGTACAACATATTAACTCCCAGGCCGCTGTCCATGCTCTTCAGCGGCGTTCCCCCCAGCCCGGACGCCGCCTTCACTTGGACCAACGGCAGGGTGTACTTCTTCAAGGGGGATGACTACTGGCGTGTCAATGAGCTGTTGAGGGTCGACAGAGGATACCCACTGAGTAAGAAAGAGCGTTGGATGCGATGCTGAGGGCCGTTCGACAGGGGGCAGCAGACACCCAAAAAGCAGGGTCCTGCTACGAGGGGCATTTTTTTTTTTTTTTCAACAGAGAAGGACCTACTTTCACCTTGTGCTTTTGTGACTGCGAGAATGATGTAAGATTTGGTATTATGTCGGGAAGAAATTAAACAAAACAAAGGCCTTCCTTTGTTTTTTTTATTCCCTCTCTCACAAACATGTGTGTTGGATTATGAGTATTGATGCTTTGAAGAGGACGTAATGTGATAATGGAAGTGTGCTCTGTCAACCAGACCTCTTTGACAGTGCTTCCATTGTGCACAGATTCACCCTGGGCCTCCTACAAACAGCACAAGCTGTGATTGTATATTTTTGCACAATTAAAAACATGATGCCTCCCTCCCTCCCCCAAAAATGTGTTGTGAGGCAAACACTCAAAAGGACAGAAAGAAGAGAAGTAATGTTTTGTTCCTGCCTTGTGTGAGCAACAAGAAATAAATCTTGGCTGCACACAGCGGGGCAGCGAGGACCAACTCCAGAATAGGAAATCCTTCCAATGACCTCTTTATTGCCTGAGAAAGGTCTGGTTGCTAAGAGCCCAAAAGGAACAAAAACAATGGTCTCATTGAACTACTAAGTATCAAACATGTATTTTATTCATTTCTATCAACATGTATGTACACAATTAGAAAAAAAAGAACGTTGAAATGTCCTGGCTAAAGTCAAACAGGATAATGACTGCTACCAATCAAAAACACGTTTTTTTTTTTTTAACATCACTACCTTGTACTTGGTTGTATGACAAATAAATTATAACGTTTGACAAGCACACGCAGACTAAAACTTCACCAAAAAAAAAAAATCTGAGTACAACTAAAAGAAAAAAAAGCTTGAACGCAATCACCAATGAGTTTTGCTTCACTATGACATACTTGTCACCCTTCTGACACATTGCAGCTAAAAGGTAATAAAAATCACACATCCTTCAATGAGAAACAGTAAAAACGCAACACTTAAAGGCAATGCGACTTAACTTTTGAAGTACAGTACATGTCAGATTTACTAACTGATAGAAATGCACCTCAGGCTCTGTTATGTGGTCAATGCACGATGGGAGAAACTAGAGAACCTTGTGTGGTTTGTGTCTTGTTCCTCTAAGAAGCACCGCGGTTGTAGTGGCTTTCAATGTTCTTCATTCCCAATTAAAACAAAAAAAACAAAGCAGCATCCCTCTCCACTGGTAATCCTCTATTCACATGCGGATCAACAACAAAACATTCTCACAAGTTCTTCAGAACATCACAAGCACGTAAACGGAACCAGAATGTCCCCTTTTTTTTCTCTCCTCTTTTAAAAATGGTTTGCTCAGACCCTGACGACGGGAGTTGTAGCTGTGAGGGGCACCGTGGAGCCCGTGTCACAGTCCAAGTCAATCATAGTGTGGTTGGTGGTGCTCTGGCTACTAAGGGAGGTGCCGGTGCCCATTTGTCTGTCCCGCAGACTTTGCAGGTAGCTCTGGAAAAAAATATGCAGAGACAGTTTTGAGTTAGACGGCATTGTTGCGATCCAGAGATGGACAAAGTATGCAGTGGACCCTTGGAACTCAAACGACTTGATGATAGAACATTGAGCCATCCGGTTTCTATAACACTTATCTTCATCTGAGCAGGGCACTGTGCTGCTCGTGATAGAAGCATAGAAAAAAAAACAAAAAACAAATCAGGTTGAAAAGCCTGAGAGCCCGGTTTGAGTTCCGAGAGTCCACTGTGCATGGTTCAGAAATCAAGAAGAAAAATCAAGATTGAAGAAGAGACAGAAACCACAGCACACGCCATGTTGGGTGACACTGACCGGTGCCAGAAGGTCCCCAGCGTAACGTTTCACTGGGGTGGCTTTACGGCGGTATGTGCCTTCCTGCCCACCTGCCTGCTGTCGCTTCCTGGCGTCCTTCTCTCGAATGCGCATCAGCTGCACTCTCTTCTGACGCCGACTTAAAACCACTAGAGGGAGAGGGCAAACGTGAGCATCGCTTTCTTGATTTGAAAAGTAACAGTGTACAACTGATGATCTGATTTTAAAAGTAACGAGTACAAGTTACTTTGAGTTCAATCAACAGGTGCCGACAATTCTGGGCTACTTGTTTTTATAACAGTACATAACAAAAGTCTTCCGAGGCTTCACGTCATGATTTTTTTAAGACCGTCTGTTTCGGTCTCAGATATGCAACTGTATTAAAGCACTTATGAATTACTTTTGAAAATAATTACTACATTTCGAGACAGTCACACACGCTTGTGGGCCTTTCACTTTCAAGCTAGAATGCGCTGCTATCCATGTTTATTTTTGTTGCTTTATTTTACGCTGCTGTTAGTGTTTTTGAAGCAAAATAACACTTTGTCAACAGCACAGGATGTGCAATGTAACTTTATAATCATTCTCTCTGACTGAGAAAAATCACGATGACTGAAGTGACTGAATTTCCAGTTTGAAAACGCAAATCTCTCTCCTGCCTCCACTGTTGTTGTTTAATTTTTTTTTTTTTTTAATGTGGTCAAAACGTGACATGGCGCAAAAGGTGATATCACTTTCCTCGGGCAGAATGCGAAATTGTGAGCTCCCAGAATGCTTCACTTCTGAGTTCCAAACACTGCACTGTTGTTTGCGGTGTTTCTTCATCTCGGAATTTATGTTATTTGTTAATCATTAGTTTTGTTCTACATATACGCGTGGGGGGAATGCGTGACTGAAAAATTATATGTGATTCCTATTCAAGTGTTGTCTAATGTTACTCACCGCTGCCCAAAAAGGTGGTCAACAACAGATCTGTATGCTACAGTATTTGTCAACATTATTAATTGATCTGCGGTAACGGAGCGCTACTTTGAAAACAAACTGCGGCCAAATTGCTCCACTGAGAAAAATAACGCGCTGGATTCGTCGTTACTTTAAAAAATGGATGCTGTGGAGCAACGCGTTACATTTCTAACACATCACGGGCATCTCTGGTCCAACGGTACAAGTCACGCTATTTCATCCTCACCCTCGGTGTGGGAGAACCTGCCGTCCGTCAGTTTCCACTGGACCAGGACTCCGAGTAGGCTGAGGGTGGGCCAGATGCCCAGAATGACCAAACTGTACCAGCAGAGCGGCGGACCCGGCGAGAGACGCAGGCAGCCGTACACGTGCGAGGCCAAAGCCAGCATCTCCACAAAGTAGTCGGCGCACACCGTCATGATGGCGGCGCCGAACACTGCCGTGGAGAGGACGGTGAACAACTTCTGCCACTGCAGCGTCAGAACGGCGAACAGCATCCCCGATCCGAGCAGGGCGCCCAGGGGCACCCACACCGTGGTGGGCGTGTAGAACTGCAGAGTGAGCAGCAGAGCGGCCAGAGCCAAGAGGAGGCCCAGCAGGAGGCCCGTCATGAAGAGGCCCACGCTGCGCACCATCATGGTGACCAGGCCGCAGAGCAGGCCGATACCGAGGCCGATGCCGGCGCTGGCCTCCACGCTGAGCTGAGTGTCCAGCACATGCTCCTTGTGGCACAGCAGGAAGATGATAACAGAGCCGAACATCAGACCGGACAGGAACATGACCGCCTTGAAGCAACGGTAACCTACAATACAAAAATGGAGCAATCGTGAGCGACCGAGTTGGCATTGGATCATCATTGCTAACTGTTCGCTATTGGGGAGTCAAATACGGTCGGGTCCATGAATATTTGGACAGCGAGCATCTTTTTTTGGCTCGAAAAACAATCCCAATGGATTTGAAGTGGAACAAACAAGATGAGGTGTGACTGTAGGCGTGTTAGCTGTCATTTGAGGGGATTTACATCCAAATCAGAAGACTGGTGTGGGAGTTATTAACGGGAGAACTGGATGTTCCACACCCAGGTGGACATGAATGGCTGCCAGTGAAAGTGGATCCCTCGTATTTATTGATGATGCGACTGCTGAAGAAAGCCACAGAATGAATTCTGAAGGGTTTCGGGCGACAATATTTCCTCATATTCAGCCAAAAAGATGGACAACGATCCAAACTGTGAAAGCAACCAAATAATTTTTGAAGGCAAAGGGGTGGAATTTTATGTATGGCAATGGCCAAGTCAATCACCTGAACCTGAATGTGATTGCAAACAGGAACCCAGGACATTATTGACATGTCTTCAATTATATGTTGCAAAATGTTCACTTTTTTTTTCTTTTAATCTTTTTTATCTCAGGCAATCAACATCTTTGTGTTAAAGTTCTCACAAAAAGTTCAGGGAGGTCCTTGGGTCATTAGCATATCTTAAAAAGTTTAATTACAAGTAAATAGCTCCCTATATTTCTAATGCAAATAAAGGTTTCCAAAATTTCAAAATAACTGACATGTTAAACTTTCACTTAGTTTGTTTTAATTTCAAACGGGTGCAGGGAGTTCCCAAGGTTAGCAGCATCTCTTTTAAAGTGCAATGAACTTGTAAATAAATAGTTCCCTGAAGTTAACACACTTTTAAATTGATCTCTGATCGGCCATCAGATGTCAAAACGATGAATATCGGCCTGACTGGTTCTCGATCTATCCTGGTCATACAAACTCAGTGAAAGCTTGACTTATGATTGTTAATTTGTCCCATTACTTTTGAACCCTTAAAAAATGGGAGCCAAAATGTAGATAGAAACTGTTGTAATTCCTGCACCGTTCACTTGGTGTGTGTGTGTACCCTCAAATAGTGTTTAAAGCCCAAAGGATGAGAATTGTGTCCACTTCCCTCACTTAAGTGTTGCGGGATACTGGACCGTTCCCACCTCTAGCATGCGTGTAATGTGTGTGTGTGTGTGTGTGTGTGTGTGTGTGTGTGTGTGTGTGTGTGTGTGTGTGTGTGTGTGTGTGTGTGTAGGGGGGGGCGGGGGGGCTGAAGGGTTTGTTTCTCACCAAAGAAGCAGTAGATGATGCCAAAGAGGCAACACATGGAGCAGATGACAGCTGGGATGATGTCATACTTCCTCTCAATCTCCAAGCTACAGGCGTCGACTTCGGCATTGCCGGTCCCCACCGGCTCTGAGCTTAGCCTGGTGGGATCTGCCATTCTGGGGTTTCAGGTCCAGAAGAAGAGCAGGATGCGAGGTAGACTGGCTGCGGGTGTTATCTCAGGTCCATCTGAGCTGCTTTGATAGCTAAGAAGACAAACGTTCATATGTGTGAATACTGTAGTCATCAACACAGGAAATGCAAACCCTATTCATGTCGACGATCGCTTGTGTCCACATGATAAACAAAGTCATTCTTTTAAACATCTCTAAAGGGGAAGTGAACTCAAAATTGTTCTTTACACGAATGTTTTATGTCGCCCCAATAGTCTAAAAACGGCATTCGGATGATAGTGCGTTTGTGGAATATGAATTAAGGAGCAAAAATAGGTTTGTTATCATATCAGGGGGCGGCCATTTTGCCATTTGCTGTCGACTGAAAAAATGACATCACAGTTGCTCAGGGCTCAGGTAAGAACCAACTTTCGAATGTCACAAGACCAAGACTCAGAACACCGGCAATTTAAAAGCTTACTACAAACACACACACACGCACACACACACACACGCACACGTTATTCTTGTGTGTTGCTTCAATCTCCTTTTACATAACAAAGTAAAGACGTCTCTTTGTTGCTGCAAAGCTGCGACGACTAAACGGATTGTGACTTTTAGTCGGTTAATGTGAGGGAGCAACACGCGGCTGTATGGGTGGACCACTGGCAGGCCTCCAACCTGAGCTCACCATCGATGAGATCCGATTACAACCGGCTCACGTTTTCCAAGAGAGACAAAAAAATAAGTAAAAGAAAAAAAACTCAGTCACGAGCATATGGCCCTGCTTTTACTGTTAAGGACTGAGACCTGCTACTTTGACAGGAAGTGCCCCTCACACTACGCATTATTCCACGTTGACAGTTCAAGGTTTTGTCCAACACACAAAAAAAACCCCAAAAACATGCACCTCTGTGAGTTTCCCGGGAATGACTTTACATGGAAAAAATGAGGCCTCATCGGAAACTCTTCCTCGCTCGTGCGCTTTTTGGTTTCTCTCCTGCTTTTGATTGCTATCAGCTGAAGGGCAAACGCGGAATATTTCCATCACGGCCATGCACGTGGCCGCTGAAGTATGGAGGACAATTATAAACACGTTTGATGTGACAGTACTTCACTCTTATAAGAACTCATGAATTTATTGGTGAACAGAAAGCATTTTTCCATGACTTTTTTTTAATTATTCTTTTAGTAAAAAGACAAATGAACGTTTTATCCAATGCCTACATAATAATAAGCAAAAACAAACAAACAAACTACCCACACGACCACAAACAGGTGCCCTATCAATTCCAGTGCAATTTAAAGGATTATCTCTCACCCCAATGATGTCATTTTCCTCATAAATGAAATAAAAAGCTTCCAGGTTGATTCAAAATCAAATGTGTCCTTTTTACCCTTTAACACACTGGTGTCAAATGCAAGGCCCAGGGGCCAGATCTGGCCCGCCACATCATTTTATGTGGCCCGCGAAAGCAAATCAAACATGTCATTCCATGGTTGGTGCTTGCTAAAATCTTGCAAAATTTCAAATCCTCATATGTAATAAAGGGTAGAGCCTTTCCCGTAAGCCATAAAAAAATTGAGGCTTTGTAATGCTTATTAAGTCTGAGGTCATCGACTACCTTGCCAATTTGAAATGAAAATCAACAGTCAGCTCATAAAATCCAGTGCCCTCCGCAACAGAATTTTAGGTTGTCATGCTAACTTTTCTAGAACATTTCAGTCACTTGACAACCCCCAGTCACTCTCTTGAGCGTGAGCATTCCAAAATCATCTGAAAAGTAATTCAGTTAAGTCGAGATGAACACACGAAGACACTCCCGTGTGTCTGTGCGGCTGCATCATGTTACGATGAGTCACAATGGTTTCCAATGTCTTGTAGCTTTGAGAAGACCTCGCCGCTGTTGGGAGAATAGAGCCATTGTGAGGCCGGAACAAAGACCCAGAGGCCCATCCCGTGACCTCTAGCGGCACTTGCAAGTAACCGCGCACGTCAAACTGGGGCCCCCCCAAGTCACGACGGCAGGGAGCACCAAGGAGACGAGTGGAGAAGCGAATGTTTGCTTTAAGATTGGAGCCAAGCGCTTACTTCGGATGGCGGCGCACTGATGGGAGGGAGGAGGGACTGACGACAAGCAACATGATTGATCATCAAGATGGAACTCGAGCTATGCTTCCACGCCGCATTTTCTACTTTCGCTCAAATCACCCGGCAACTAAGTGAATACGCGTCAACAAGATGAACAGTCTGTAGTCCAGCTAGAAAACACGTAAGGCTTAGAGTTAAAAGAGCCGACATTTTCAACTCGGAACCGGTATCCATTTTAAGTTTTATAGATAACGTGGGCAGATATTTTATTCTCAGTCAAATACGAATTTAATGAGTGGGAGAAATCACATGGTTCTGTTGCCTAACAGCGATACACGTGTGGTGCCCAATACTACTTAAGCGAACAAAAACAATTCCTTGGAGTTAAAAAAAAAAAATGATGCCCTCGGAGCCCAGACAGAACCATCGGACAAATGGGCCATTAAACAAATTATGTACAAAAGGTACAGTTGCTAAAGTGATTCTTGAAAAGAACATCAAGCATCCTGGGATCCTTTCATGGAGACTCGAGCGTTTTCCGTGAGCTCGCATCCTCAACAGGAATGAGGAATTTCTGACCAAACCTTTTAAAACCAACATTTTTAGCCAGCTCACAGTGTGGTCAGGAAGTAATCAAGCATGACATTCAACCACGAAAAACACATTTTTCTATTTAGCAATGCAAGCTAATAACCAATTCAAACTCGAACCACCCCCCCCCGCCCCCGCCACAATCTTTAGAAAAGCAATTTCTGAATAGAAACACACCCCAAAAAAAAATGTCACTGATGGTGTAGAACACAGGTGTCAAAGTCAAGGCCCGGGGGCCAGATCTGGCCCGCCACATGATTATATGTGGCCCGCGAAAGCAAATCAAGGACGTCAAGTTCCATGATGCTCAGAACCAAAATTTCACACCGCCATATGTAATCCACAATTACATATGATATCGCAAGCATTTTCTCATGACCAAACCCCTTATTACATTAATGTAAACAATGTTGAAACAAGTCATTATTCATGACTTCGGATTTCGAAACTAGTTATCCATCAATTTGTTGTGCGCTGTGTATGAAATATGTGGAGGTGATTAAACATTTATATGATTTCACAAAACACAACGGCCCTCCAAGGGAAACCGTAACTACGATGAGGCCCGCGACAAAAATGAGTTTGACACTCCCTGATGTAGAAGTTCACTCGCTTTACTTCAGTGTTAGCAACGTGGGTTCAATTTCCCTGCTCACTTAATACTGTGCTGACTCGGTTACGAATCGATTGGTTCTAGAATTATTACTGCAGCTTCAAAGTAGGTTACTGACTTGCATACACAGTCGCATTGCATCACCGCTGTAGCAAACCGAGAACACCTTGTCCTGTATTTCTAATTTAAATACGGACTGGTAGTTAATACGAGTGATGAACGGCTTTAGAAAGCATCCCATAACAATTGCTTAGGAGGATACTGCCCCACCCCCCTGAAGAAGCGCAGCAGGGGGGCTGAGTAATGCACAATTGAGTGCTCAGCTGCCGAGGAGGACGGGCTGGCTACAAGTTCCCCGCATAGCTAATTTGGGCGTGTTTATTCAAGAGTTGGACGCGTGTCGTCAGTGAAAAAATCTTTCTCCTGACTTGATGGCCATGGCCAGTTGAGAAGTTAAGATTATGATTTGGCTGTCTGGAAGAAGCCCCCCCCCCCAAAAGAATGCAAGCTGCACTTTGCAGCCATTAATCAGGACGTCTTATTATTGGGCATGTCCACAAGTTCCCCCCCCCTCCAAAAAAAAAAGAAATTGTCATGTCTAGACATCAGGAGCCTTCGAGAAGATGTGGTTATCAGTAGGTTTAAAATGGCTTTTCCATTCTGAGCGGGGAATACAAATATGGGTAAACACAAATAAATTACTGCTCAACCATGCCCATCTGTTTTCACTCTGGAGGATTATTGAGCAGGACATGATGTGGGGCCCCCAACTAAGCTTCCTGCTTTGGAGAAGCAGGAAGGACCTGATGAGGAAGTGGAACATCAGCTTTCAACGGGGGGGTTCACCATTGTTTTTGTGACATGGAGCAATGACACCAGCCAAGCTTTTGGATCATCAACACCGACGCCCCAGATCAGTGAATACCAACTTTGACGACTTTATGCTGCCGAGCAAAGATGGGACAGCAAAATCGGGACAGAACATAACATCTCTCTCTGGATCGCTCGCTAATCAAAAGAGAACATGTCACCCAAGTGAGCCTGCAGACACGACCGAGGTGGTTCTAAGCAACGCGTGTTGCAAATCTGTCTGTGTTTGGTTTCCTGGAACAACTTCGATAATGAGAGCAACACATTTTCCGGACTCTTAATGTTCAAAGGTGAAAGGTCAAACTCCATGCCGCCAACTACGAGAACACATTTAACAAATAAAAAAATAATAATATAGACCTACAAAATGACAGCTGGCGGCCCCTGGGGCCTGGGTGGGTTTTCTCCGGGTACTCCGGTTTCTTCACGCATTCGAAAAACATGCATGGCAGGTTAATGGAGCACTCTAAATTGTCCCAAGGTGTGAGTGTGAGCGCGGATGGTTGTTCGCCTCTGTGTGCCCTGCAATTGGCTGGAAACCAGTTCAGGGTGTCCCCGACCTACTGCCCGAAGACGGCTAGGATCGGCTCCCGCACCCCCCGCGACCCTTGTGAGGATAAAGGCGGATCGGAAAATGGATGGACGGATGTAAAATAACAGCTTGACTTGAACTCCAAACCTCGTTTCTGATTCAATCATCACCTACAGGAACTTTAACAGCAACATCAACAGGCCTCGTTCCTGCCATTCTCTATTTTTATTTATTTATTGTCAGTGTGAGTTTCTGTGCCACTTGTCTGACTCAGATGCCCAAAATGACAGTTATTCCCTTCTGTTCGTTCCTCGTTCAGCTGTTTCCCCTCAGCGTCACGTCGTCTTTCCTTCATCACCAGCTGTTCAACTCCTAGCAGTAACTAGTTACTGATG